ATACAGATATATACTATACATTACATATATATAAATCTATTTATTTTCTAAATATTCACAAATTCTACACAACTTTTGCTACGTTTACTCATATAATAATGTTACTACTACGCTTCGCTCCGTACTGCTATCCACTCTTATTATACTCTCTGCTGTACACCCACTTTACTTAGCTTCGCTCTCCGTCCCCCCAACTTTCTCTATTGCCTTATGTTCACTTACAGTGTGAGAATTCTGTACGCTTGTTCATTTTCTCGATTTCTTTTTATATCTTCTAATTTTATTTCTTTGCTTCCTGTCACAACTGTTTTGCCCTCTAACCACCACCATAAATTAACTTAGTTTTAGTTAGTGTACAGAATTTAATTTGATCAACTGAAGAGAGCGGAGAAGTGCCTAAAAATTTATAAAAAATTTTGCGAGAAAAGCGCTTTTTAATATATGTATATATATTATTTTTAATGGTTCCTTTTTCGATTCAAATAAATAAAAAAAATTTTCTCATTTTTTACCCGAACAGACTAAGCCCTTATTGACAGAATACCTGTCGGATCAAAAAGCAATGCTAATATTTTATTTATCTTTACAAAAAAAGAGAGCAAAGCACCTAATTCATTTCAGTCGATCACGCGGTTGATCCTAAAAGTATGCAAAATGTATCAGAGGGCATGTTAAAACCCTAAGAGTGAAGTTTTTAACTTCTTTGAGTCCATTTTTTCATTTACCAAATCTGTATAAAAGTTTCGAAGCAGATTCTTCGAAGCGATCATTTTAACCGAGTAGGTAGAGAGCTTGACTCTTACTATAGGATTCCTGAGTTCTACTTTTCACGGAACAAATTTCAAAGATATAAATTTTTTGAACCTATAATATCTCCCAGCTTTTCAAGACGGAGCTTAAGCTTCTTCAGTTGTTTGTGATTTTGCAATTTCGTCCACAGCACTCTTCTGGGATAATCCCACACCTTAAGCACTATTTTCAAAACTTCCTTTTATGCAAGCAGGTAGAGCGCTTAACTACTACTCCTAGGTTCGTGAGTTCGATTTTGGTCAGAACGAATTCTAAATTTATGAATTTTTCGCAATTCAAATGAGCTCTTCTCACCTCATGATTTCTCAGATCGCGAATACAGATAATGTCTGCCCAACATAACAATATATTTAGGCTAAAAAGCGCCTTATTTTTAAAACTTCTGCCTCTCCGTAGCATAGCCAAATTAACGTCTACTCATAAACATAATTTTAAATCCAGCAATTTTGGCTGGATGATCCGGATTGCTTTGCGATCCCAATCTAACAACTGGTATCCACAATTTTTCCCCTCTACTGTTATCAATTTCCCTGTATTTCAAGCCTCCCCCCCACCCACACTTTTACTCACAATATCTCCAGACATTGCTATCCAAATAAAATTTTTATGCATTTAAAACAAAAAAGCATTTTATATACATATATATTACTGTAAACAATATTTTTGATTACTTATACTTTTTTCTTTTTGTATTTTGTTTAATATTTTCTGCACTTTCTCTTAGGATAAGTTCAGCGTCGTTACATTTTGTCGCTTGTTCGTTCGTTCGCTCGCTCGCTAGTGTAAGAACAAAAAGCCTGTCTCACCAAAAAATCAAAAAAAAAATGTATGAAACAGAATAACAAGACTTTAGAGGCTTTATATCAAACCACAAAACTACACAATCAGTATAGAAAATTCTCAAATTGAAAATTTGATACCACCGCAGAATGTGTAACAAGGATTGGTTGAAAGATAATATATGTATATAAATATATACAGAGAGGGGGATCGTCTCGTCAATGCTTGATTCACTCTCAAGGTCCACTAAATAAAACAAAATACGAAACGGATATACAGCTCGTCCCCATTTAATCTACTTTCGTTCTACTCGTCTACTTATTTTGGGGCACGCAGGGACATTTCAGTACTGTTAAAATAGCTCTAACTGAAAATGCAGAACTGCTACTCATTAGCACGAGGGCTCGTGTGCAGTGTTGGAAAGTATGTGTATACTCTGTTTACTACTACAACCCAATCACTACTTGTGTTTATTTTGTTTTTGTGCCACTACAATACCCTTCAAATAATTATAAACAATTTATATAAAATGGATTGAAGTTAAAGTACAAAACCATTAAACCTAGTACCTTTCAAATTCTGTTTACAAAAACAAAAAAAATATATATATAATAATAATGCATATACCTCCATACCAAAACAGCCCATAACCTGCCTACATAAAGGTGTGCCTATAATTTTGTTAGTAAATTGCTCATTTATGCCATGCGTTCTCATCAGTTCTCCAAGCAATGTATACTACCTTAAAATATTTTTCTAAAGCGGTTTTCCCACGTTTTCCATACGTTTATTTCGTTCAATGTTAACTATACTTAGTAGAACCTCAATTCAAAAACAATATATTTTTTTTATTATGAATAAATATTTAACATTTTTAGCTAAATTTTACTTTATCACGAAAAAACGAAAAAAAATTCCATTTTTAACTTAAATACAAGCATAAATAAATGCATTGTTATACAATATTTACCTGCCCGAGCCCTCACTCGCAAATATTATAAAATTAACCATTTTTCCTTTCAAACCATCTGTAGACATACGAGTTCTTTACAAAATTAAAAAAATAAACATGAAATTGCCTTTAATGTATTAAAACATAAGTAAAAACAATTCCAACACTGTTATTTTCACACCGACCTTACCAACCATACCATATACATAAGTACATCTACACAGTACCTTTAGACAATTGACAAAACAGCACAAAAGACACATAACTACACTCGTCTTGAAGAAAATTATTCCACAACGTCCATGACTTAACTACCACTGACTTCATTTTGTCTTTTTTTGGCAGCCTCACATGTAATCCGTTAGTCTACCACGTTTTCTACTCTTAACCATGACTCCTTCTGGATCGCTTCTCACCACAATATCTTCTCCGTTAGTTTCGTAATACGCTTGCGAGCGCCATTCCTCACAACTATGCCAATCGTTCTCTGTTCAACATTGTCCTCTGTCTTCCACATATTTGAGTCGCAAACTATTGTGTTTTAGCTCTTGCGTATAGTATATTGCTCCTTAGCCTGAGGTGAATTGGTCCTAAGTCTTTCGTGTTAACAGTTCAATCAAATTAGCGCTTTGTAAATTGCTATAGCCAAATTGAATAACCCAAAATATCGTATGTTCAACTAAATTACCCCAAAACTGGTTACATTGGGAAATTAACGCTACTTTCATACAAATTTAAAGCATTATTTTCAATTTCGTTATTTGAATTAATATTTGTATCACAATTAATGAAATTTCCCCTTATTAAAAAATACCCATGGGATAAAAGTATGTAAATTTTTTTCCTATATACTTTAAAGTAAAAATTGTCAGTAACTACAGATATTTAATATATATAATTAATGAAAAAACCTACAAAATTAAATATTTTCAATATTCCATTAAAATTTATGTAAAATGTTTAAATATTTTTAGAGATATTATTAAATTCCATAAAACGAAATTACCGTTTTAGGCATTCATTTCGGTTTATAATTGAGTAAAAGCATTTTTTCATTTAGTCATTTTTTAAAAGTACCACTGTTCCAATTGTTTTAAAAATTCCCCCTATTTTTCGAAAAAATATTCACGCTTAAAAACGTTTTTTGTGTCCAAATCCTAAATTTGTTGTTTTCGTAAGTAATAACGCGTCCTAGAAAATTTCGTACTACTTAGCTGGAAACATTTTTAAAGCATACGCTTTTATTATAAAGCAAAAGCTTTTGTTAAAATTATTCACGACTAAAAGTTTTTTTTTTTTTGTATACAAAGTCATAATTTCCTGTTTTCGTAAATAAAAACGCGTTATATAAAATTTCCTACGTTTAGTTGGAAACATTTTTAGGTAAAAAAAAATTAGCTCTCCTCAGACCTAAAATGTTTCCAATTTTTAATAATAAAAAACACACCTTCTTAACTCCCTAGATTTGTATAGGAAATTCCCCAGTATTTCGTTGACATACAATCTAACTCACTAGCAAAGTGATTCCGTACCGTGATATTTTAGTGCTTACATATAAACATACATTTTCTTTTTCACCACACCACTGCGTTACATCGAATCTCGAGAATATACCACAACTTTGCGAACTGTTTCAACACTATTTACCACCATTATTGATTATGCAACCATAACTGAAAATTGCGTCGCCAATCTTTTGTATATTTGCTTGTTTGCATACCTGGGTAGTTTTTATCTCTTTGCAAAACCAACCGGCCATCAACTCCCTCACCAATTCTGAGTATCACATTCTCTCTGTGGTGGAATATTTCCCATTATTAGCCTACTAAAGTCGCAGAAACAAATCATGCACTATTTTATAGGAATAGCGTTTCAAAAAAATCCCCCGACCTCTATGTGTTGCCTTGAAAAATTGTCTTATACATATTCATGATAGCTTGAAAACGAAAAACGTCCCGTATCTTACAATTTTCGCCTCTCAACATATGTAACTACGTTCTGATTTCATAATAAAACATGTATTTGCGTATCATTTCCTCCTTAGTTGATTTATATAGCATATTTATTTGATTTTACTGAACTGATTGATGTATATATACTTTACTTTATGACTTCTCATTGCGTTAAACCGTCGACCTACGCTCTCTCTCTCTCTCTCTCTAATAATTTTCCACCTTGTTGAATTTATTTACCCAATCTTACAATTGTTAACCCCCGCCCCCACCAACAAGATAGTAAAGAACTGAATAGTTTTATGAAAAAAATGTATGTCTTTATTCTGGCAAAGAGCTCTCTTTAATCACAACACATTTTCTTTATATTCTTTTCTTATTGTTGTTAATATCGTCCAAAAATCAAAAATCGAAAAAACAAAAAAAATCGAAACTATCGAAAAAATCGGCAAAACAACAACAACATATGTGTTTACTACTGCTACTACTATGTACTACCACCACTACTATTCGTTACCACCACTCACCAAAACCACCAACTTCTGCTACTATTACTACTACTGCAAACGTCAATAAAACGCGACGTTGCCACACCTGCTCGCTCGCTCGTCCAAACTCGTCAAATTGGTAATGAAAATGCAACAATATTAATACAACATTAATACAACTACTAGACATGTCCAGTATTTCCGTTGGCCTTGGCCACCGGTGGCCTACATGCTGGCATCTCAGGTTTGACGGATCCTCTATTGAAAGGGGCACACTTGCAAGGAGCGGTGCCGGCTGCCCACCATCATCTACAGCATATACCCGATGTGAGTTGCATTTGTTTACTACAAAAACAGCAAAACAAAAAAAAAAAAAAAAACAAGCATAACCGCAAAGCCTGGCTTCAACCGTAGTTTCCAAACAAAAAGAAACATTAAGAAAGTAGCGATATTTTGGAAGCTCTGCTGTGAACTTTATGGCTAAAATCGTATGAAATTATTTCACAAAATCATAAAAATATTATCCCTAACGCCGCTATACAGGTATTTTATGCGCATCCCTTAATTTCCTCCCCCTAAAACCACCTTACACCAAAACCAACTCTATTTAGCTTGCTAGTGGTCCACACAACACACACATGCGTTGAAGCGGTTTGTAACCACGTTAATTGACCCCTGCCCCTATCAACCCCTTTCCGCCTAGTTAGTTATTTTACCGTAATTGCCTTAGAAAGTGCCCCCGGTTTCAGCGGCAGTGTTTCCTGAAACTATGTAATTTTCGATATTGCTTTATGCTTTCACCCAGTATTCGTACATGTAGCCTCGCCCCCACTATTTGCCTTGAGGTTTGTACCAAAATGTTGTTTTTTTTTTTCTTCACTGGTTTTCTGTTTGCATTCTACCCCTCCTGGAATGGATTTGTGAACTTGAGTTATATTACTGTATGTTGAAATACTATATATTTACTGTTAATGTGGTAATTTATGCGTGATCCAATCCGTAAACTCGAAAAATTATGTAATATCGGAAAAATTGTTTTTAGAGACAACGAAAAAAAAAATTAAATTATGGTTAGGGGACTTTACTTTACTGTGGGCTGTGCCGCTGATTTAGAGGCACTTGCCATCCGGAAAATATATCCCTTAAGCGACTATTCTAGTCTAGAAAAATAGCTAAAGTCAGTGAGTTTCAATTTGCTTGCTGTTCTTCGACAGCTACATATATATTTATTCAATTAAATTTAACGCAAAAATTACCACATTCATGCTCGACTGCTCTGCCAACCCCTTTGGCCCCCACAGCATTTCTGCACACGTATTATCCCTCTCTATATTTAGTATGTAATATATAATATATTAAGTAATTTTTTGTTTATGTACTAAGCAATTTCCGTCTATATTTCTTGGTTATACTTATGTGCGTATGTTTGTAATACATACACACAAATTTATACGAGTTCTTTTTCTAATTGTTGTTCTTGTTGTGCTGTCCCATGGAATGTGCCTGCCCCCGTAAATTACTCCCGTAATTTTATACTTAATCGTAAAATCCATCAGTAACGTACTATGAACTACTATCATAAGCGCCCCTCTGACCTTCATTTATACACACATATTTCACACGCACACATATACCGAGAAAAGGGTATTATACTTTTTGTACATTTCAAATAAACAGTTAAGTCTTCCACTCTTCAACTTACTTTCGGACACCGTGCTGCATTTCAAACTAAATTTCGTGACTATCACTTCACCTCTATTCTATAATTTACGCATGTTTTTGTAAAAAGTGAAAAAAAACATTTATTTCATTATTTATGATTTCAATTGTAAATTTTTATAAATTCTATATATCTGTGTAATAATGTAATGTAGGTAAAAAAGAGAAACGCTTTATATTCTTAGATCAATTGTTTTCCGAAATCTCTTGTGGATATTGCCAGACGCTGGCCAAATCATTGCCTCATGATTTTAATAGCTCTAACCAAAATAGTCCATCAATTAAACGTTATTAACGTCAAATCGAGTTGAAACCGTAAAGCAACTCTACGGGTTTTTGTCCGGGCTGTAAATTTTGTTGTGTGAATTGATTAAACATCACCTGCAAAAGAGAAAAAATACAAAATGAAGAACACAAGGAGAAATTTATAGAAGATTAAACTCTATTGCAAACGAATGATAAAATAACAAACATTACGGAAAAAATAATTAACGGGCGATCTCTGGTCGGAAGAGGAAAGGGAGAATTAATTTTTAAAGGTTAGGAATGGTTTATCTCGAGTATTGGCGAAACTACTAGTCCTATAGAGATAAGTTATACGACAACGTTGCAGGTAATAAAACGGTCTATAACTTTTGTATATGAACTTTTTTCACACATCCTCAAAATTTATGTAAGAAATTCAATATATTACTGCTGACACAAAGAAGATTCGAAGTCGAAAAGCTGCAATTACGATGGACAGCCGTACAATTGCACTCCTGCTCTCTGAGAGCACTCATCAGCAACTCGAATGAGACCAGTGAAGGACTGAAAAGCAGCATGCACCAGCTTCTTTGCAGAATAGGCAGCGTGCACCTCGGCCCTCACGGCTATACCGGGCACGACTACGCCACGGCTAACACAACTTTCATGCGCACAGCCACCTAACCAAGGATGCCATCCTAACGCTTCTGCATCCGAACGCATCCGCAGCCGCCCTGCAGTCCAGATGTGGCCCCCAGGACCTGTTTTGTTTCCTTGCCTGAAAAGGCCGCTGAATGGCAAGCATTTTGAGACGACAGAGGGGATTCAAGCAGCGTGCACATTAGCTCTCACGGCTATTCCGGGTACGACAACGCATCGACTCACACCGCCTTTCTTTTCACACCCACCTAACCAGGGACCGCATCCCAGCGCTTCCGCAGCCGCCCTACAACCCAGACGTGGCCCCAGGCCCTTTTTGTTTCCTTGCCTGAAAAGGCCGATGAAGGGCAAGCATTTTGAGACGACAGAGGGGATTCAAGCAGCGTGCACATTAGCTCTCACGGCTATTCCGGGTACAACAGCGCCTCTGCTCACACCGCCTTTCATGCGCGCAACCCAAGACCGACATCCCAACGCTTCCGCAGCCCTGATGTGGCCCCCAGGACCTTTTTTGTTCCCCTGCCTGAAAAGGCCGATGAATGGCAAGCATTTTGAGACGACAACAGGGACCCAAGCAGTGTGCACCTCGGCTGTGACGGCTATTCCGGATACGACAATGCACGGGCTCTCACAGCGCCTTTCTTTTCACACCCACCTAACCAAGGCCGACATCGCAACGCTTCCGCAGCCGCCCTACAGCCCAGACGTGGCCCAGGACCTTTTTTATTCCCTTGCCTGCAAAGGCCGATGAATGGCAAGCATTTTGAGACGACAAAAGGGATCCAAGCAGTGTGCACATCGGCTCTGACGGCTATTCCGGATACGACAACGCACGGGCTCACACCGCCTTTCTTTTTACAGCCACCTAACCAGGGACCGCAGACCAGTGCTTCTGCAGACGCCCTACAGCCCTGTTGTGGCCCCCAGGACCTTTTTTGTTTCCTTGCCCGAAAAGGCCGATGAATGGCAAGCATTTCGAGACGACGGATTGGATTGAAGCAGCGTGCACCACGGCTCTTACTGCTATTCCGGGTACGACAACGCCACGGCTCACACCGCCTTTCATGTGCGCAGCCACCTAACGAAGGCCGATATCGCAACGCTTCCGCAGCCGCCCTACAGCCCAGATGCGGCCCCCAGGACCTTTTTTATTCCCTTGCCTGCAAAGGCCGATGAATGGCAAGCATTTCGAGACGACAAAAGGGATCCAAGCAGTGTGCACCTCGGCTGTGACGGCTATTCCGGATACGACAACGCACGGGCTCACACCGCCTTTCATGCGCGCAGCCACCTAACCAAGGCCGACATCGCAACGCTTCCGCAGCCGCCCTGCAGCCCTGATGTGGCCCCCAGGACCCGGCTCACACCGCCTYTCTTTTCACACCCACCTAACCAAGGCCGACATCGCAACGCTTCCGCAGCCGCCCTGCAGCCCAGATGTGGCCCCAGGAACTTTTTTTGTTCCCTTGCTTGAAAAGGCCGATGAATGGCAAGCTTTTCTAGACGACAAAGGGGATCCAAGCAGTGTGCACCTCGGCTGTGACGGCTATTCCGGATACGACAACGCATCGACTCACACCGTCTTTCTTTTCACACCCACCTAACCAAGGCCGACATCGCAACGCTTCCGCAGCCGCCCTACATCTCGGACGCTGCCCCAGAACTTTTTTTTGTTTCCTTTCCTGAAAAGGCCGCTGAATGGCAAGCATTTTTAGACGTCAGAAGGGATTCAAGCAGCGTTCATCTTTGCTCTCACTGCTATTCCGGGTACGACAATACATCGGCTCACACCACCTTTCTTTTTGCAGCCACCAAACCGGGGACCGTATCCCAACGCTTCCGCAGCCGCCCTACAGCCCAGATGTGGGCCCCAGGACCTTTTTTGTTCCCCTGCCTGAAAAGGCCGATGAATGGCAAGCATTTTGAGACGACAACAGGGACCCAAGCAGTCTGCACCACGGCTCTCACTGCTATTCCGGATACGACAACGCATCGACTCACACCGCCTTTCTTTTCACACCCACCTACCCAAGGCCGACACCGCAACGCTTCCGCAGCCGCCCTGCAGCCCAGATGTGGCCCCAGGACCTTTTTTTGTTCCCTTGCTTGAAAAGGCCGCTGAATGGCAAGCATTTTTAGAAGACAAAAGAGTTTCAAGCAGAGTGCATCTTTGCTCTCACGGCTAAGCCACCTAACCAAGACCGACATCCCAACATCGGAAGCATTGCGATGTCGACCATAGTTAGGTAGGTGTGCACATGAAAGGCGTTGTGAGCGTGAGCAGTGCCCTGTCGTATCCGGAATAACCGTGAGAGCTGAGGTGCAGACTGCTTGGGTCCCTGTTGTCGTCTCAAAATGCTTGCCATTCATCGGCCTTTTCAGGCAGGGGAACAAAAAAGGTCCTGGGGCCCACATCTGGGCTGTAGGGCGGCTGCGGAAGCGTTGGGATACGGTCCCCGGTTTGGTGGCTGCAAAAAGAAAGGTGGTGTGAGCCGATGTATTGTCGTACCCGGAATAGCAGTGAGAGCCGTGGTGCATGCCGCTTGGATCCTCTCTGTCGTCTCAAAATGCTTGCTATTCATCGGGATTTTTAGGCAAGGGAACATAGAAGGCCCTGGGGGCCACATCAGGGCTGTAGGGCGTCTGCAGAAAGCATTGGGCTGCGGTCCCTGGTTAGGTGGCTGTAAAAAGAAAGGCGGTGTGAGCCGTGGCGTTGTCGTACCCGGAGTAGCAGTGGGAGCCGTGGTGCACGCTGCTTCAATCCAATCCGTCGTCTCGAAATGCTTGCCTTTCATCGGCCTTTTC